GGAATACATTAATGCAACTGCAATAGGCATTGTACATATTTTAACTATGAAATAAATAACAAGGAAGAATGAAAACTTTACATCTTATGTTAACAGAAGGTAAATCAAGTCATTTTTCCAAATTGTCTCAAAAGGCAGCCATTAATGCCAGGTAGCACTTTTGATTTTTAACCTTTCTAAAAAAAAAATTACCCATTTAACATATTAAATGCAAGGCATTTGGTGTAAACATTTGAAAAAAAAAAACAAACCACTATGTAAATTGTACCTATGCAGGTGTTCTTAAAAATACTATCTTGCATAATATAAAATAATATTTTTTGAAAAGCTTACTGTATATACTCATGTATAAGTCTAGAAATTTTAGTCAAAAAATCGACTCAGAAACAAGGATCAAATTATCTATGGGTCAGTGTACCTTAACTCTTATCAAAAAAGGAACCATCTCCTTCTCTGAGTAGAGTGGCAAAAGGTGGTGAGAGCTTAGTTTATCCCAGGAGAATGTAAAAGAAGCTCTGACCCCCCCTCCCCCCCTCCATCCACTGTGGTACTGCTTCTGAATTTTTTGACTATCTGGGTGGGGAAATAACAGTGTGCTTTGGCATCACTTTCCTCTCCTTCATCCTTTACATCCTTTGTTATATGCCCCTAAATTTTACCCTCAACTTATACATGGTTTATACATAATTTTTGCCCCAGAACCTGTTCACAACTTATACATGAGGTCAACTTATAGTCGAGTATATACGGTAAATAAGAGCTTGTAAGAAAATGAGAGGGAGCGAAAGATGTGGCTACTAATACATACATAAGGAGATGAAGACTGGAGCTGGTTTCTCTCTTTCAGGACCATTTTATTTACACTCAGAACAATCCTATATTTACTTGGTGTTGAGTTGTATTGTTTTCAATGAGGTATTCAATACTACTGTTTCTAGTCAATGTGTTTAAGACTATAGCTGGAGATTTCTATCATGGAGAAACGGGAAACATGCCTTCTAACTCATGGCATGACATGTGATGTTAGTGTTTCATGAAGGAGCATGGTTTACATTGTCTGCACTACTCTCTGTGTGTGAATCATGATGGGAACCAGCCCTTTGCATATGTTGGCCTCTACATTGAGCTTTGCTGTCTCATCTTACATTAAACATGTGGTAGTAGTGAAAAGGGTGAACAGTTGTTCTGCCACCACATTATAAAGAACACTGACCTGACAAATGCGTGAACTAAGCCACAGTCATACTGGCAGGTCACTAAGACCTATTATTTATCTGTCTGCCCATCCAGCCATCCTTCATAATGGCACTGGGCTGGATCCAAATTTACTTTATCCAAAGTGAGCCCATGGAAATAATCAGGACTTCAATTAATCATTACCAAATTCTCAGCAATTTCAGCGAGTCTAAATCCAACCAATGCCTTTCTTACAAAATACCTCAAAGCAACAACTTCTTATTGTGCAGTGCATGATACAACATAGATTAATGAGAAATCTAGGGAGTATAAAGAACTTTACTTTTGTCTTTTAAAATGTATATGCATAAACATTATTGCTCTTTTCTTTCAGTATGCAAAAGGAATTGGTGAAAGAGATAAAGTATATTTTCAACATAAATAAATTAAGGGAATGAGTCCATAAAGGACAAAGTGGTGACAAGCAAAATAAAATAAAATAAAAGGTTTATCTTATAGTTACCACCATTCACATGGAATGATGATTAATATCACTTCCTTTGTCTATGCAAAAAAACCCAAAACTACATTATAGAGCAACTATAGCAGAATATTCTAAAGTCTCTCTTTGTCTTGTCTTGTCTTTTCTTTCCTTTCAATTCTCAATGTTCTTGCCCTGAATACCTTTCAGTAGGGCAGCTTGAACAGTTCAGCGCCACTTCGAAAACCCCTCTGGAGATCAGACGATAAAATTCTTCAGCAATCAGGGAGAGAGGACAAAGGGCTTTCTCGTGCTATTCCCATATTTCCATGTTTGCTGGCTTAACATCATTGTGTACGACTGCAGTACTTAACAGCTGATGCGAAGACGTTCAGAGCTGGCAAACAGAGAAACAGCATGAGAAAAGCCCCTGTCTTTAGCATCACATCTCCCACACTAGCTTGGCACTATCTGCCAAATATCACTTAGCTTAATACTGTTGGGGAGGGGGGGAGAAGGGCAGACTCAGTTACTCAGTTTTTAAAAAACAAACAAATGAATAACAATTTGGACAGAAAGGAAAATTCAGGTTTGAGGGGGAAAGCACTTATATAGTTAGTTACCCTTACAAACTGTCTTACAGAAAGACATCTCAGCATATATATCTATACCACAGACTTAAAATAATTTAATAGGCATTCTTCTCCCCACAGAATCCAAGAACTGTACTTGTACTTTTTATTCAATAAACAGACAAAAGTTATCTGAAGGTGAACTTTTTAATGCAGAATTATTAAACCTTCATCAACTACAATTCTCAGTATCCTTTGGGGGAAAAAACCAGTAACTAGTAAAGTTTTTCCTTGTTTGTTTAAAAGCTACAATACAAGTTCATAGTGTATATATGACCTAAGAGGACAAACATTACCTAACATAACACAACTATAACATTTCCTCAGAAGAGGTATGTCAGGCTCCAACTTTTGAAATGCAATGTTCACATCATTATAAAATGTCATGCAGCCAAGAGACCCCATTTTGATCCTTCAGTTTTATTGGATTTCTAGGAATGTGAATGTCTTTATTTGTACTCTCTAGCAATTTATTCTTTATAGGCAACCACTTATAGGCAATCAAGTCCCCTGTGCACAAGGCAACAGATTAACTACCATTTTGAGAATTGCTTTAGACTGCTGATATTGAGCCATGCTGAAAAATGTTGAGACAAAAGAAAGATGGGGTATGGAGGAAGAAAAAGAAGAAAATAAGCTTGAAACAAAATAAAGTAATCAGCATAATGCTTCCAACTTTAATAGGTACTAATGGAAAATACAAGCAAAATGTGTGTGGGGGGGGGAGAGAGGATGCACAGAAGCAGCTCTAGACAAAATGATTATAAATTAATAATAGAAATAAAGAACAGAGGCAGAAAAAAGAACCACAAAGTATATGTCCTATAACAAGAACACTATAGGATATATATAGAAAAACTAGAACTTTAAAGCAGAGATGGGAATCCCATGACTCTTTGGATGCTGGATTTCAACTCCTATGAACTCACCTGCAATATGGTGAGGTACAGCCTAGTTGATTTTCTTATAATTCAAGAATTAATTCTGGCACATTAATAGATTATGGGCCCTTTTACCTCCTAGACAATTATAGCACTGATTCCATTTTAATTGCCATAGCAACATCCAACTGAATCCTGAGGTTTGAAGGTTAATATTTTCTGAAGTGGTTAGACTGCATGCTCTTGTAAGGCAAGAGCCTATGTTGATATTAGCAGGGCTGCCAGTAGGGTTACCCATGTTAGATGGGCTTCTGCTGTGGACCCAGACTAACACCCTGACCAGACTGCTACAAATAGTGCAAACTGAGTCCACTTTAACTGTCCTGGCTCAGTGCTAGGGAATCATGGAAATTGTATTTTTTTCTGAGACATTGAGCCTTCTCTGTCAGAGAGCTCTGGTGCCACAATAAACTACAATTCCCATGATTCCCTAACACTGAGTCAGGGCAGTTAAAGTGGACTCAATTTGCACTATTTCTGGCAGTCTGCAAAGGCCCTAAATGTGCCAAGCAGCTACTGGGTAGCAGCACTATTTGGGGGTGATTCTGGCAGAGGATTTCACACAGACAATGGCAATGGCATCATAGCTAACACTTGTTAGTACTGCACAGAAGAAGGCATAGTGAACCTCCTTCTGAATGTCTTTTACCAAGAAAACCCCATGATGAGGCAATCCAAAATGACACAAGAGATAGTGCCAGAAGATGACATTCCCATGTTGGAAGGCACTCAATAACCTACTGGGGTACCGTAGAGCATAGTACAGTGGTTGTGGAGGTAGTGTTCTATAGAGAGTCAATTCTTTCTTGGAGGGGCAGTCTCAGAGGGTGGCACTGGGGGATTATGGCTCAGTTCCTTGTCCATTGGTCTGTGGACTTCCTCAAAGTTCACTCTTGCCTCAATGTTATTTAACATCTACATGAAATTTCTGGGAGAGGTTTTCTGAGGTTTTAGGGTCAGGTGTCAACAGTGTGCTATCATTTCTTTCCACCTAACTCCAGGAAAGTTGTTCATGGAGGCTTTAATGGATGAGAGCAAACAAACTTAGGCCAGATAAGACAGAGGTGCTCCTGGTCAATTGAAAGACAGATCTGGGAATAGTGATTCACCCTGTGTTAAAGGGGGCTACACTCCCCCTGAAAATACAGATTCACAGTTTGGGATCCTCCTGGGTATGGCTCTAAGCCTGGGTGACCAGGAGTGCTTCTGCATAGTTAAAACTAGCATGCCAATTGCACCCATGGAGAAGTTGTATGTGGCCAAGGTAGTACATGGCTTGGTTACATCCTGTTTGGATTACAGTAATACACTATCTTGGCTGTCTTGAAAAGTGCTCAAAAACTTCAGTTGTCCCAAAGAGCTGCAGCTGCTAGCTGGAGCTGGTTACAAGGAGCACACAACTCCTTTGTTGCAGCAGCTTCATTGGCTGGTGCACCTTTTCCAGGCACAATTCAAAGTTTGACCTATAAAGCCTAATATGGCTTAGGTCCAGGTTATATGAAGTACGATATCTCTCTTTGGGAGCCCATTAAAACACTAAGATTGACTGGTGAGGTCCTTCTCTCTGTACCATCACCTTCTCAGGCTCATTTTGTGGGTATAAGGGAGAAGGCTTTCCCAGTTGTTGCTCCCAGGAATTCTTTCCTAGAGAGGCCAAGATCCTTACTTTCTTTTCAGGTAAAAACATTTCTGTGCCATCATGCTTTTCCATACTGACAAAATTTGGGCTTTTGGATGGTGTGGGATTCATTTTTTTAAGGTTTGCATATAGCAAGAGTGGTGTAGTGGTTTGAGCATTAAACTACAGAGCTGGCGATCAGGGTTCGATTCCCTGTTCAGCCACAGAAAAACTACTAGGTGTCACTGGATGAGTCACATACTCTAAGCCTCAGACAACTCCTTAGGGTTGCAATAAGTCAGAAATAACTTGAAGGCACACAACAACAATATAGCTTTTAAAGTATATTTTACTGTTTTGAATGTTTTAAGTTTTTAATATTATAAATTGTGTAATCACTTTTTAAAAGTCATATTTAAACTTATAAAATGTTTTGTATTGTTTTAATTTTTTTTTGTTTTGAATTTGCTGTTAACCACCTTGAGACCCTATATCTGCAGAAAGGTGGGCTATAAATGAATAAAACAGCACTGTGCTAATGATGGAACTGGACTCAAGATAAAAGGACATTTAGCTGTTAACATGCTCAGAGGTGAAAGAAAAGTTGGAATCTATACAACACATATTACAGGAACATGGGATGTGGGAAGAATGAATGAGAGAATGCCAGAGATAATAATACAAGAAATATATAAATATTTCAATACTTGGTGCAAGTAAACTAAAGTGGACAGGAATGGGACATTTTGAGTCAGATGACTACACTGTTTTTTACTCAAGAAATTAAAAATCTAAGAAGAAATAGCATTAATAGTGAAGGGAAATATAACAAAAGCAGTCAAGGGATACAATGCAAAATTTGACTGAATAAAAGTAATAAGACTTCAGGGAAAACCCATCAATATAATCATAATCCAAGTTTATGCATCCACTACAGAGGCAGAAGAAGATGGAATTGAAAGATTCTATGCTGGAGTCTAGGAGGAAACTGATCACACACAAAATAGGACATTGTTAGTCATAGGAGACTGGAATATAAAAGTAGGAAACACAGTGGAATTAAAGATTGTGGGGAAAATTGGCCTTGAATCACAAAAAGAAGCAGGAGACTGACTGGCTTAATTTTGTGAAGCCATCATTTGTTCATTACGACTGCAGCCAGTGACATTGTTGGAGGGGAATGAAAAGAGACAGTATCTGTGAATAGGATGAACATGGGAAAGAACTTCTTAGATAACATTAGACAGATTTACAAACAAATGGCAACAAAACAAAAGAAATAGAAGTCAGCAAAGGAACAAGGCGAGGATGTCTGTTGTTGCCACTTTTATTTATGATAGTATTAGAAGTGTTAAATAATACAATCAGGAAGAATACAAATATAAGAGGAATGGAAGTTAAAGGCAATGAATATAAAGTTAAAGCCTTTGCTGATGACATGGTTGTGATTCTGGATGACCCATTAAATAGTATAGATTATCTGTTAGAAGAATTAAACACCTTTGGCAAATTTTCAGGCTTCAAAATCAATAAAGACAAAACATGGATAATCACTAAGAACATGTTCAAGAAAGACCAAGAGCTACTAGTTGAAGATCTAGATGTAAAATAGAAAAAAATGCTTGATGATAGAAACATCTTGAATTTGGAAGGAGCTGATCTAAGATTGGTATGGTTGGTATGGCCACTTATGGTACCAAAATTTTTTAGCGAACAAAGATTTCAACAAGCACCCTATTAGAAAAGCTCTACTGAAGATATGGCTGCAAATAAAAGCTAAATTTTACAAAAATACCAATGTGGGTATCAACCCAGGAAGGCCTTTTTGGAAGGTCGAATGAAAACCCAAAGTGGTTAACATCTAAAGATTTAACAAAAAAGAACGAACAAGGAAATCTAAGACTAAAAAAAATGAAATAGATGAAATATTATGGAAGCCAGATAGGAAGATAGAAAATTTATACAAAATCTTATTAGAAAGAGAAACTAAAAAAGAAATAATTAAGGGTTGTATGATTAGATGAGACCAAGATATGGGTCATACAATAAATCTGGAATGCTGGGAGAAAACTTGGATAAGAACACATGAATTTACAGCATTGCAAGACCTCAAAGAAAACTTTTTGAACATCTTCAGAAAATGGTCCTACATGCTGGTAAAACTAAAAAAAATGTACAATCTAAAAGAAGATAGTTGTTGGAGATGTAAGAAAGCGGTAGGGACAGTGTAGCATATGTGATGGTCATGTGAGAAAATACAAGTATTTTGGAGGAAAGTACATAAAGTAATCTAAAAATATGTACAAAATCCAATTTCATATGATACTAGTAGTCTACCATCTAAACATGAACTCAGTGATGAATTGTCCAGAAGAAAAAAGAGACTGGCAAGTTTTACTATATTTAATAACAGCAGCTAGATTGATTGTAGCAAGAAATTGGAAGAACGAAGAAACAACAGAAATTGAAAGCTGGTTACAAAAACTGTATGACTTGAGAGAAATGGACAGATTGTCCCACAAAATTGAAAATAGGAATATGGAAAAATTTGAAAAAAATGGCTCCCGATAGTAGACTATTGGAAAGTAGTATGGGGGATTAAAAAGGGGCTATTTAAATAAACTTTTTAATAGTCAAAATGGTCACTAATTAGAAAATGATTAGAGGTTGTTTTACATCATTGTTTATTTTGCAAAAGGAAACTAAAGATAAACAACAAGTCAGTATTACAGTAAGTGGAGAGGAAAGGGAAACAAGCACCGAATGCATTATAAAGAAGTAATGACATAGTAATCATTAACTTTGACAGACAACTAGATTAAAATTATAGAAACAAAAGATGAGCGTTGATGCAAAATTTAAGAAGAGGAATCGAATATTATAAATAGAAAATCTACACACTAGAACTGACCAAGTGGAAGTATTAATTTAGGATACTTTGTAATGAAAAATGAAACATTGGCGGGAAAGTATATTTATGGACGTTATCACATGGGGGCAAATCTGCTGGTTAATCTACACAAACTCCAGACAGAAACTGGATTAGTGACCTGTGTTTTCACACGACGTCGCACAGAAACTGGACAGAAAGTGGACAGAAACTGGTGTTAACCGAGATCTTTTGAAATTCGGTTGTTTGGAGGAAATGCAAATGTGCCATGAAGGTAAATGCGCAATTTAGGTAAAATCGCCGTAATGTGGAAAGCAAATGCATATTTGGAAGGGGGACCTCCTTGAAACGCAGAGGGTCGGCGCTCCGAGGAGGTCCCGCTCGGAGAGCCGGTGCTCTGAGGAGGTCCTCCTTGGAGAGCCGGTGCTCCGAGGAGGTCCTCCTTGG